CTTCGTCCAGGACGAAGGTGCCTATCTGAGGAACGGACGTCAGCAGCGCAGGTTTCACCATCCTCGTGTACACCAGACCGAGGAAACCGGCGGAAGAGGGGTAAGAGTGGTAGTCGACCGTGCGCTCCCCCGCTGTTCGCCGATCGTAGAGCCTCCGATCGGTGAAGACGTCGGCGTTCCGGAAAGCCTCCTGGTTCTGAACGCTCTTGCCGAACTGCACGCACATAGTAGTTTTCACCACTTTGTCCTGAAGTTTGCGCCCAGCTCTTTTAAGCACCAAGCGCCGAGCATAGCATTCTTCGATGAACGGCTTCATGAAAGCCCTACAGCCAAAGCGGATGATCGCGTGGACTTCGCAGATTCTGACTCCCATCGTCTCCATGTAAAACTTGAGCAGGCGAAGTTGCAGGCTCTCCTCTCTGTGGAAGCCGAGGAACGGCATCAACTTCGAGTTGCAGGGCGCTTTTGTCCACCCGCGGTTTCGCATCAACCCCTGGGAGTACTCGCTCAGCTCTGAAGTGTGAATGGACATACGAGCCGGAGGAGCCCAATCGACGAAATCATGAGCTTCACAAGGGACGTAGTAGGAGACCTTGACCAGGTGGGTCTCCTCGTAGTCCTTCGCGTCGTAGTCCGTAGTCTCCAGGAGGTTGTAGAGCCGCCTCAGACGCTCCTTCTTGCCATGCGGCAGTCGCACCCACTCACCACCGTCCACTGGGAGAGGTCTAGACATGACTGTCGGATATTGTGAGTTCACGTCAAACTTCTTCAGGTGTGAGATGGGCTCGGCCTCGTTGAAGTCCTCTCCAATGCCCTCGTTATTTGCCTTGGCATATGGTTGGAAAGGATTCGACAATCCGCCGCGCACGCTCTCGCGGACGATCCTGTAGATGCCCTCATCGCGGATGAGCTGCAGCGGCCGATCTCTGCCCGTGCAGCTTTTCAACATAGCATCCCAAGACGCCGAAGCCCCTGTGACGTAGTGCACCGGGTCCAGGCCATAATGTTCGAAGAAAGCCTCGCGGTAAGCCTCTATCACGTCTGCTAAAGCCATGTCAGTATGCAGATACGCGTCGTGGAACTCTCCGAACGTATTGAAGCCGAAGAAGTCGACGATCTTCTGTATCTCCTCATACTTAGCCTCGCTGCAGACCTCCCCGGTGAGGCGGCTGTTGTAATAGCTCCGGTCGGGCATCACGGGGTCCATCTCCCAGCATTCGGGGCCAGACATGCGCTCAAACGGCATAGGGATTTTCTTCAGAAGTAGATTCCACACCTGCTCGCGGTAAAAGGTGCAGTTCTTCTTCCACATCTTTGCGAAGACTGGGTG